AAGCAGCAAGTTGGAAAACCATATTTTGATAAATGATAGAATAAAGCAACAAGTTGGAAAGCAAAGGGAATGAAGAGCCATAAGCTATAAATTAAACACAAAATGTTACAATAGATAATTAGTCCAAAGCTACAAACAAAAATTTCTCTACATCCCAACGTCTTAAGTTTCCTGAGGAAGATAGACGAAGGGCCTAGCAGTGCAGTAGCTGAACTCTCAACAGAAGGAACTGAAGAAGGGTTCCCTAGCTCAGCAGGCAACCTTACTGGCAATGAAGCAGTTGAAGTCTCAGGAGGGCCAAGAGCAAGCAAGGAGGTAAGGACCTCAGCTTTGGACGAAGCTCCAACGGCCAGCTCAGCAGGGATGGAAGAAGCTGTGGAAAGCCCGGCAGCCATGGGAGTAGAGGTGTCTAAGGAGACAGAAGTATCTTGAGCTGAAGTTCCAACTAGAGGAATGAGCCCTTCAGAGTCTTTGGGCACATCATCAGAAACAGGAGGAGCAGGAGCATCATCCTTTTCTTCATCAGACCCCTCGGCCTCTTCCTCAGGGGGAATTGAAAAGTCAAAGTTCAATTCAGGGTAAGTCCTTTCAGCTATACCCTGGAAAATAATCCACCCTTTTGCCCACCTGGTGAGAACGTCATCCTCTAGCTAGGCAATCAACTTATTCTTTTTTCGGATGGTAGTGTCTCGCACCTCCAGCGCCTCCTTGACAGCCACTAACTCCTCCCTGACAGCATCATTGGCCTCAGCTAGCACCTCGTACTCCCTTTTCACATTCCTAAAGGAAGCCAGAGCTTCAAGGGACTTTCGGCTCTCCTTGATCCAGTCATTAGTTTTTGATCGGAGGTCTTCCTTAGTCTGGCTGAGCTCCTCTTGTCTGGATTTGGCAAGGGAAGATTGCTGCTCCACTTGTTCTTGCAATTCCTTTACCTGGACCTTAATGTTATTATTCTCGAAAGCCAGAATGGTACACTTCAGCTCAAAATCTTTGGAAGCATTGGCCGACCCTTCCAGGACTTGGATTCGCTTTAACAAGCTGCTTATTGGAATGACAGTCTAAAGACAAGCATGAAAGATTAGTGCAAAGGGAAGAGCACAGGACATAAAAAAAAAATGAGAATTTGACAAATTAGAGTCTTACCGAGGTACAGCCATACAGCGTAGTGGAAACACAGATTCCCAGGGGTATAGAAGTGGCTGCATCAATGTCAGACTTTGGGATAATAGAGGCAATGACCTTTGTAGAACACTTCACATCGGTAATAAGAGAATTCTCAGACTTCAAGAAGACCTCTTTGCCTGACATGAGAGGTTGGGAGGTCTCCTTGGTTGATGCAGAAGCAACACGATCAGGGAAAGTGCGAGCAGTATCCACGAACCTCTCAACTTCAGATGCAGAAGGGGAGGTTTGGTCTCACCCAGGAGGATCTTCAGTGGCAAGTCAGGTCCTTTGTGGGAAAGAAAGTCCTGAGGTCGGTGAGGACAGTGCGGATGGTGGGGCCTTCTGCATAGAGGCTGAGGTAAAGGAAGTACCCATTTTCTGAACCTTAGCTCAAGTAACTGGGCTCCCACCAGAATTGCCTTCAGCCTTGCGCTTGGTACCACCCTTGCTTTTCTTCTTCAATAGCTCTACCTTAGCTTGGAGCATCTCAGGGGTAGGCTTCATTGTAGAAGACCCTGGGAGATTTGATTTGAGCTAGTTAGTCAAAAGGAAAAAGAAAGGGAAGAAAGCAATGAAACCAAATAAGGGAAAGAGCATTATCTTCTATGTCCTCAGGTCGGATAAAGGAAAGTGGGGTTGGAGCTTCTATCACTGTCTCATAAGGACCGAATCCCTGCCTTCCTAACTCTTAGGGCCTAATGAGCTCAGAGTACCTCTCTGGATTACACTTAGCCAACTTCAGCTTCACTCGCTCGTCCTCGACGCTGAGTTCAGGTCGAATGCCTAATAAAAAAAAAAGGGCAACACCAAAGATGCAAAGGTCAGGAAAGCAACTCATATATCTTCATACCGCAGTTCAGTCAGGCAAGAACTCACCTAAGTTATCTGGGGCTGTCCANAAGAAAACAACTCATATATCTTCATACCGCAGTTCAGTCAGGCAAGAACTCACCTAAGTTATCTGGGGCTGTCCAGGCTTTGGGAATCCCAAAAGTGTCTGTTTTATTAACAGGATTGTATTCCCAGTTGACACCCCCAACGAAAATTTTTTTTTTTTTTCAGCCTTTATGAGAGCTCGGGAGGTGTGTGATGACTTGCCTAGACAAGGCCCGCTTAGAAATATATAGAAAGCCCTCAATTGAGGTAAGCTTGACATTGAAGAGGTCCATAAACAAAGAAATGGTGGGAGTCCCAAACCCATGCTTCTTAAAGAAAACTAAAATACCCACTAAAACACCCCAGAAGTTAGGAGAAAGCTGAGCAGGGCAGACATTGAAGTGCTGCAGAACATTTTTGATGAAGGGGTGCATAAGGAAACGAAGGTCATTTTTGAAAGCGGCCACAAAGAAACAAACTCTTTTGTGCATCTGGGCAATGTATGAGGTAAGTTTATCCGAACACCAAGGCTGGACACCAGGGGGAAAGCGAAAGCGAGCACTAAGAGCTTCCATAAAGGAAGGATCCACCGCACTGGGTCCCACGAGCTCGGCATGCCTCAGGGCAGCCCTTGAACCCACTGCACAGTCAGAAATTCCTACCTCACTCACCTTGCCCTTACCCTTGTCAGCACTAGGGGGTACATGAGAGGAAGACGAGGGGAGTTCCTTGGNGTAGCCCTTATACCCACTGCACAATTATAAATTCCTACCTCACTCACCTTGCCCTTACCCTTGTCAGCACTAGGGGGTACATGAGAGGAAGACGAGGGGAGTTCCTTGGAGTCCACCTTGGCATCGACAACCTTCACACCGGGGAAGTTGTCAATCTCATCGCCCGCGTCCCCTAAATCAGAATCTCTCTCTGCAGACCTGTCGCCTAGGAAGGAAACAGAGGAAGGAGTTGCTCCATAGGAGACTGACATGATTGGCAAAGAGAAAGGCAAGTCGAAAGAATGATAAAAAAAAATGGATACTAACTAAACACCCCCTGATAATCCTAGGGTCAGTACTGTACCTCCCAACAGTAAGAATTCGTACAGTGGAGTTCCAATCCACAAAGCGGGGAAAAGGAGATAGGCAACGATCACGATTTCAAAAGAAAAATAATTGAAAAATCCAGAAAAATAATGGCCACCTCGAAGTCGAGGGATCTAGAGTGAGGAAAGGCAAAAGAAAGAGAAAGGGGCAGAAGGAAACGTACCTAGACAGGGAAGAGAGCCACAAACAGCAGTCAAAGAACAAAATTAGAGGAGAGGAACAAAATAGGACTTTGAGTCGAACCTAGAAAACACAGTCTAGAGTAGAGAATAAGGGAATCGCGTGGAGGAAAGCCCAGAAATCATAGAGAGAAAGAGCCGGAGACGAAGGTGAATAGCGTAGAAGATGAACGGTGATTTTGTAAGGTTTCTTTTAGCCATTTGAGCGTTAAGGCTTGAAAGACATGGGATGAGGCGTGAGTGGGAATCAAGGGAGCCATGATTGCTGCAACCGTCGAAAATCCCCTCCCACGTGCATCTCACATGCAGACTAAGGTCAGCTAAACGCAGGTCAGGTCCAAGGTAAAAGCAGCTCAACCCATGCCTAAGCTCGCTTGGGCCAAGGGCTGGGGGGGGCAACTGATGATACCTCAAAATAAATCCCAAGTGCCAGCTCAGGAGGTCAGCTTAGCCCAAGAGGTCAGACTAGACAAACAGAACTCGGAAAAGTAGAGTTGGAGGTTCCTTCGAGATAAGCAAGGGCAATAACAACCAAGGCAACAACTGGATAATCTCGAGAGGTTCCTAAAGCGTTAGGAAGCTAAAATCACGACACTTAATCTCAACCAGCCAAAATCTTCTCCTAGAATTAGGGAGAACCCCACAAAGTAAGGGCTAGAATCGCGGCCAGGATCCCACTTAGCAGGGAATGACACTATAAATGCAATACAACACCTCCTAACAAGAGAGAGGACCCTAGGGACAATAGGAAGTCATAGCAGCTTTGTAATCATCGTGATAAAACAGAAGGAGCAAGAATCTCCATTGAACAGTGGACTAGCCGAGCTCCTGAACCGGTGAACCACTATATTTTTACTGTGTGCACCCCTTCAATCCCTTGAATATTCTATCAATTAGCATCATACACGAGTCTCGTAGCTCTAATCCACGCTCACCCCACATTACTTTCACCTTAAGCTCTTCCACATTGGTAAACGCTATCAGTCTTGAATCACCAGTGTTAATTATTCATGTTAGTCTAAAACTACTTACAAATTATGTGATTATATTAGAACTACAATGAGGTGAAATAGCATAGATATAACCAAACCATGGGTAGAAAAATAGCATTTACCCTAATCATATTTGAACCATAACACAAGTTAAATGCTATAGAACCAAACCAAACCAAACCAAACCATGGAGGCGAGGAAGAGATGCAAAAATGGATTGGCTTGTAACCTTAATTGAGTACAGTTTTAAGGGCAATTGGGTAAAATTATAATTTCTCCTGTTAATTATTATAGGATTATAACAGACTGTTTTAAGGATTATTTTATGAACTGTAAATCTTTATTTTTTTTTGTGATATGTTATGTAATGTAAATAACTTTACAATTATTTAGGATTATAGTAGCCTTTATTATGAGTCCTTTTTTTTTTCTTTTCTTTTTTTAATTCGTCTTTTATAAATTGATTGTCTTGTGTATTCTTAGTTACGCCTCCAATTGATATCCTCTTAATCTTGCAACTAGATCTAGGTGCTTTGGTTTTGGTCTTTCAAATATGCCATCCATAATCATCGTCTCTTGTTGAGATTAGTAAGACATTGGGTAGAGGAATCCAAAGAAATTATTATGAGAGATGGCTTATTATTTCATGATGTTCAAACACCAGAAGCAGCTTTTATTCTGTGTTGATATATATATATATATATATATGTGCACATGGTCTAATCATCATCATAATCATCATCAACGCTGTTGGAAGATGCCAAGTCTGACGGACTGTGGAACATATATAAGACGCTGCTCTCTAATCTTCTTTCCATTTAGAAGCCACCCACCGGAAAATATGGAGCGGTGAAAATATTCAAATGACCAGTACGCCTCTGGAAGGTGTTTTGTCCAAGCTCCAAATTGCTTTCTTTCAAAACAAATAAAAGATCCAAGTCGGTCAATTGCAAATTAAGACCACTTGTAATGGTTGGTAAGCGATAAAAACCAAGCAAAATTGANACAAATAAAAGATCCAAGTCGGTCAACTGCAAATTAAGACCACTTGTAATGGTTGGTAAGCGATAAAAACCAAGCAAAATTGAAAAACACAATGATGAATGACGGCCATACCACAACATCAGGGCTTTGGACGTCTTACGTCTCGGGCTTCCCTTCTGTCCTGTGCCAAGATTACCAAGGTATGTATACTGTCCTGCCAAGATTACCAAGGCATGTATTAACTGCAATCGAGTGAAAAGATAAAAAGTACACAGCCATTACCTTCATCTCGTATCATAAAAAACAACAGCATAACTATACACTTTCATTTGCCGGAAGACATGGCATCCTCAATACTCCTGATAACCTGACTCAAACTACCTCCACTTTCCAAAGCTTTTACAGCAGCTCGATGAGCATGTTTGTGCCATTTGAGCAGATTATAAGATTGCAGAACTGACCACCTTGCTTGATTTGACATCTATTGAAACAATAGTGAGCACCAGAGATCGGCATTCAATAAAAGAAATTGATAAGCAAAAAATTCTGCTCCAAGAACAACCTGTGCCTTAGATAGTGGGGGTTCCAAGAGAACACAGACGCTCCTGAACAGATTTTCATCATTTTCTCCACCCTCAGCCTCTCCGTAGACAAGAGCCTCAGCTGCTATCCCAGCAAAAAGCACCATGCAGTACCTGAACATTTTACACATGCATGGAATAAACTAATGACGTGAGAGTGTCACCATTTATACATATATTATAAGTGAGTGTCCCATAATCCTTTCTATATGTGGAAGCATCCTTAATCATCCAGATCCTTGACCAAGCTGATCCATGCCACCAAGCATGTATTGGGGTAAACGTGGAAAGTAGATTAAGAGGCAAAAAAATACGATTATGCTTCACTTCATGCAAAAGCTTGCAACTGACATTGTAAGGTAAAATATCTATGCTAATCCGTCCAACCGAAGTACTAACTGCAATTTTGCAAAATAATATTTTCCATGAGAAAATATTATTCAACTCAGGCGCAGTGCAACCTTGTAAGCAAAACCAAAATCCAGACCTTTGTAGTCCATAACCCACCTGTCAAAGGCAGTACCACTGAGTCGACCTTCAGCAAGTTCATTTTGCAGTTTCTCATCCCAAAATTGAGTTCCTGCCTGCAAGACAATCGCCGCAATGAACATATGTTGCCTGTGATAATTATGAATCAGCATGAAGCTAGGTTTAGATGNGTTTCTCATCCCAAAACTGAGTTCCTGCCTGCAAGACAATCGCCGCAATGAACATATGTTGCCTGTGATAATTATGAATCAGCATGAAGCTAGGTTTAGATGAGTTTAGGAAAGTGAGGGCCAATAAAGTAAACTAAAGCAAGAAAAGTCAGCACTTTGCAATTTGTATTTATCAGGAGGAGGGAAGAAGTTTATCAGTGGCTTGGGGATATGCATAACAGGAAAGTTTTTTGCAACATAAAAGAAAAGATCAACTATGTTCAATATCTGTTTTTCTTTCTCCCTTCTTCTTGGCGACCCATAATGCACAGCGGGGTCTGGAGAAGTAAGTGGTGAATATATTAAACCAATACCAAATTTTTATCCTTTGATACATGGATTGGCTTAAAAGAATAGATTTATTACAGGAATTTTAAATTAATAATGGTTTCCAATGTACAACAAGCGCCTCCACTGAAGGATCAGTGAAGAAGAAATCAGGTAACAGTAACACAAACACACCATATTTTCGTTCAGTAGGCAGCTATGAGTTTTGACTTAGATCCATGTCAAGTACTCCATCTAAGTTTCAAAATAACGATCTCATACCTAAAAAGGAAGTTCAAGGCAAGCATGCATTAGTAATGGCACATGAAGCATAGATATAGGATACAGGCATGAACAGGTACGAGCATATATGAATATGGCGAATATGAACTGATCTTCATTCAATTTAACCTATTTATATTGCAATAGATGATATAATATGTACTAAACAATCTAAATTAATAACAGCACAAACTCCATAATTTAGGCATGTCACTTGATAAGTCATCCAAAATACCACATAAATACCAATCCATCCATATTGGTCTCTTGCTTTGACTTCCTGAATATGTCCAATCATAAAAAAGTGTACAGCGACATGTTTTAAGAGTGGCTTGTGCAATAAAAATCATAGACACCATACAACGCAAGCAAATTCTGATGTACCTGCCCTTGAATGCCCATTTGCATCGCGACTATGGGGTCTAAAATTACCCCACGAATTGGACACCCCATAAGGAATGCTGCAAAGAAATATAAGAGAATATCAATAGGGTACAGGTCAAAATAAGGGTTATACGCCCCTAAGCTGAGTTGCAAGTGTATAATCAATGCTTGACAAAATAGATGTTTCTGAATTTCTTCTGTAAACGAAAGGAACAATGAGAGTGTGCAAAGTGTCCAGATCTCATGTTTGAAAACCCGAGAGTGGTCCCTAACTTGTGATCACTAATATCAATTTGTAGACCTATTATTACAATATGCTTCATGGGTATAGAAATTAAAGATGGATCTAATTTTGTCAATTTATAATTCTAATGGTAAGGTAAGTTGCAAATATTCAGAGAAACAGTGCTCACCGATAAGAAGATGGCCTGCTTCATGTATAAGAATTCGATGTTTATATGGAGGCCAGTAACTTGAGATTTGAGCCAAACAGGATCCACCAAGGAATATTGAATCTATCATGGCTAATCCCAATGTGGCTGCTAGGTTTGGCCTAATATCTATTCCTTGATTAAGCAAAAATGACACTCCAGCAAGTAAACCAACCAAAACGACTCTAGAGCTTCCAGAAAGACCCCACTTCTTTGGTGAAAGTTTAGAAACTGGGCCACAGAAAAACAATGAAGAAGAAGAAGAAGAACTTAGACGTTTTAACGTCAATGGAGTTGTGACATGTTAATCATTTCAACTCAAATTTATCAGTTTTTGGAATAAACTATAGATGGGTAGTGCACCTTCCAGACCAGTTGACGACTTCAAAACAATTGGTGTAACATCTCTTGGTCCCTCCAGAACTGCAAAAGTATATAATCATTATAAACAAGTGACAGACTGCTTACTGTATCCAAGAATTTTTTATGCTTCAGTAAGGAGATATGATGATTAAAACTGGTCCCTCCACATAATGTTAAATTTCATGCTTCAATGTCATATAATGATGAGGTGATTAAAAAAATCATTTACTTGGATTAATAAGATTTGCATATCATCAAACACTATCTTTTGTTTGACATCTTGTAGAGAAACTAACTGAAAAACAACTAGAAATTTGACTGTAACCAGTGAGAACATATATAATAAAAATGATAGAGCACAAGAAGTCTGAAAAATTTTTACCACTTGGCATTGGCTTTGGATAAAGGCTAAAGCAAAGCATCTTTTCTCTTTCGAAATACATACTTGATGAAATGGTTCCATAGTCTTAAGAACAAGACTAGGGTACCGGTACCTCTAAATTTTACAATTTTTATGGGTTTTCATACAAAAAAAGTTGTGGGTTGTTTACAACAACAAAAATTACAACTTTTGGGGTCAAAGTTTGAACTGTTAAGGTTTTTTTACATTTTTTTTGGCCAAGTTATAACTTTTATGGTAACTTGCGATCAATCCTAATATTTTTAGAATTGATCACACGTTACTACAAAAGGTGTAAAAAAACCAACAAAATTTGTAATGGTAGTACCATAGACTTCTCTCAGTACTAATTGAGTGTTTTAAATTTCTAAAACAAAACATATTACAGGAACTCTCAAGCACAATTTTATTGCACCATCAGCCAAAGCATCCAAATTTGGTAAAATAGAGAAAGATCGTTGTCTCGGGGAATCAAAACCTGATCAGACATAAACATTCTTAACAATTACATCATATGGTCAACAGTACGGATAGGGGCAGGACAACATTCCGCAACAAATAAGACAACAAACTACCCGAAAATANTTGGGGAATCAAAACCTGATCAGACATAAACATTCTTAACAATTACATCATATGGTCAACAGTATGGATAGGGGCAGGACAACATTCCGCAACAAATAAGACAACAAACTACCCGAAAATATGCCAAAAAGAATACCTATATTTCGATATTTTCCAAAATTGGGCAATAAGCCCCGGTCTTTGAGAAAAGCATAGGCACTCCCAACAAGCCTCATATCATCAGCATTCAAGCATGTATCTAACACCTCCCAATCCTTGTCCAATCCAAATAGCCCCAATTCACCATTAACAACCCTAGATGGAGCTGAGTCAATCGAAGAATTGTGGGGTTCGACTGGGATATCTTGCAAGAAGCGAAGAGCTCGAGCCAGGTCCTTGTCTTTTACTGCTTCCTCATACTCCTGCCACTGTCTGAGAGCTCTGGTTGTGGTGAGTGATGGTGGTTGTTTTCGGAGAAAGGGTTCGGCTTCTGCAAGTGGGCGTGTTGGGAATGGTAACGGACTAGAGAGGGTGAAGCCAATTGGGTGTGGAATGACCTTGGTTGAGACAATTGGGGTGGTGAAATTTGTGAGGTACAGAGGTGAAAAACCAAGAAACGTAGCCATGGGAGCTATGTAAAACAAAACTTTGCACCAATAGCAGATTTATTGATACAATTGATTGAGCGATATAAAGGGGAAGGGATGAGCGGTGGTGTTGGAATGGTTTTGTGATTGTGTTTAGAAACCGCGGAACCGAGCGCTGCACCAAACCCTAATCAAGGAAAACCCGACCCGGTATTTATTCACAGTCATGTTTCCAAACCTCAGCGAGTTTAAAAAGTTTCGAGTCTAAAAATTAAAAATTTTCAAATATTTTATTTATTTTTTAATTAGTCACAACTCAAAAAAATTGAAAAACATATTTAAGATATTTATAGGTGAAAAAAAGTAGCTTAAAACTGTTATACAGGAGTATTCATATTTTTAGATTGAATTTTTTTTTTTGTTTTTGAAAAAATGAGTGGGAGCAAAAGAAAGCAACCATCCGATAGGACTTCATTTGTGAGATTATGAGACTTTTGATTGTGCTTGTTACTTCTTTGGGGAACGAACTTAACTAAAACTCAAATCTCTAGCCTCAGAGTGAGAAATTTAACCTATACCCCACTCAATGAATTATTCAATTGATAATACTTGTAAAATATTCATATGATAAACTAAATTGTTCTTTTTGTATGGGTGTATTTGGCTTGCCATGGGAGGAGTGGATATTTATCCTAATCTCATCCAACCCAATTCAAAATAATTCCATTATTCAATTCAATACTTGATTTGAATCGAAATNGGGTGTATTTGGCTTGCCATGGGAGGAGTGGATATTTATCCTAATCTCATCCAACCCAATTCAAAATAATTCCATTATTCAATTCAATACTTGATTTGAATCGAAATAAATGGGAATCGTGTGTCCTATGCACATGTCAAAATCAACCTAAATGAAAGAATCATTACACCAGTACCACGTTTGAATGGGTAGGGCAGGGTGGATAAAATTAGTTTGNAATTGATAATACTTGTAAAATATTCATATGATAAACTAAATTGTTCTTTTTGTATGAGTGTATTTGGCTTGCCATGAGAGGAGTGGATATTTATCCTAATCTCATCCAACCCAATTCAAAATAATTCCATTATTCAATTCAATACTTGATTTGGATCGAAATAAATGGGAATCGTGTGCCCTATGCACATGTCAAAATCAACCTAAATGAAAGAACCATTACACCAGTACCACGTTTGAATGGGTAGGGCAGGGTGGATAAAATTAGTTTGAATGAGTAATTTTTTTAGAAAGAATGAACAATAACAATTTTAAATACCATAAATTAAGTTATACTTATTTAGAAGTAAATTACGATTTAGTATAAACAATTGTAATATTTTGATATTTTTGGGGCACCACACAATTCAACCGCAACAACTCTTATCACTTTTCGTAATCACAGAGGCTTTTCACGGTGCCCATCGCAGGACATGGCATACACGTCGGAAACACAAAGTTCACAGAGAGAGAGAACCAGTAAGCCCCTGGAAGATGTTTTGTCCAAGCTCCAAACTGCTTTCTTTCAAAACAAATAAAAGATCCAAGTTGGTCAACTGCAAATTAAGACCACTTGTAATGGTTGGTAAACGATGAAAACCCAAGCAAAATTGAACAACACAATGATGAATGACGGCCACACTACAACATCCGGGCTTTGGACATCTTACGCCTCGGCCTTCCCTCCTGTCCTGTGCCAAGATTACCGAGGGATGTATTAATTGCAAATCGAGTGAAAAGATAAAAAGCACACGGCCATTACCTTCATCTCGTATCATAATTATACCTTAAGGTGAGAAGTTTAACTGTTACCCCACTGAACCACCCCAATCGGATGTAAACTATGATATAACCAAACGAAATATTAGTATATCTAAATATAAATTCATAAGCTATGATATAATAGTTCTGAATTCATATTCAAATTATCAATAAAAAAATATTATTATGTATCTGATTAATCGAATTCAAATTATATTCTGATTTATTGACACGTTTAGTTGCTATTGATATTATATTGACATTCTTTTCCTTTGTATTTGTTCATTTGTAAATAGCAACTAATGAAATTCGAACTAAATTGTTCATTAGTCGCTTTAGATTGATTATTTATGCAAATGCAATACTTAAAACCCAATAACTTTGGTAAGAAGGATTTCAACAGATTCATGTCTCTTTCAATAAACTTTTATTTTTAATTTATGATAATAATATATTAACTTGGATATACATATGAGTTTTTCTTATTGTTATACAATAAATAATAGTATTAAAATTTAAAAAAATATATTAAAAAAGATATATGTTTGAAACCAAACATCTTTTTTTAACCGTGAAAAAATAGTTTATTCTGTGCTCATTGTGAGATTGCGTGTATATTTATATTATCCAATCGTGAAAAGGCAAAACAATTTTGAATCGATCCCTTTTGTTCTCTTCTTTTACGTAGGCACTATGATCGGTCTGTGTTTATCAACTGATACTGTTTTCATGTTTTATCGGAGGAGAATTATAATTTTGACAAATTCGTCTGCTCCTTGTGTGCTCAGACTAACGTCTTTTTTACTGGTTCTCTTAGAACCAAAAAAGTCACGATCACTCAAATGAACACACAGACACCCATTTTCTATGCTTTCACCCCTGGGATTGAAGGAGAGAGAGGACTTAAGGGTCAAATTTGTCAGGGTTGTGATTCTCCTTTGGAAGCATGGAAATGGTAACAGCCGATGATCGGATCCCCATGTGTCTATGTCCGAGAAGGAAACGGGAAGTGATCGGAAATTCCACCGGAAACGGCTCTCTTTCTCAGCTAGATGGTCAGAGTCTGGCAACACACTGAGTTGGTAGGTTCTCCTAGAAACCCTAATCCGATCATTGGTTCCTATCAATTGTTTATATGATTTTGCCCAACTTGATGGATTGAGAGGCTCTATTCAATTTTCCCAACCCTAACCCTAGTTTCGTATATGGTTCTAATATTGTCTGTTCTAATTATTCATCTTTGAATTATCTTTTCTCTAATTGTTCTAATTATGCATTTGGGGTTTTATTTTGATCCTAAATGTAACCTGTTAGTTTAATTTGGTTCTTGAAGCTGCTAAGTGATGCTTTGTTGTTAAATTCGCTAAGCTTCCCTAATTTACATGTTTCTTTGTTAAATTTCTGGTAATTGATGCCATGGGTTTATTATGTTTAAAGAGGAATGGTGATGAATCTTAGCAGTGTTTTTTTTTAGTTTCTGCAGTCAGTCAAAATCTCCTAAATTTATTTGTACATCGTCTCAAAAGGAACTTAAATATGAACTAAATGACAATTAATCTATAACTGAAATTTCATGAATGCACTTAGTCGAGCTCGTAGTTTCATACAATGCACTAGCCAGGAGTTTTTTTTTTTAAAAGAAAATGTTATTCCACTGAATTTTGCACTTCATTCTGGCCATAGTTGTCCATTTCATTGAAACATGAGTTTTTGTAAGTAATAATTTCCATCATGAAACAATGCAGCTTCTGTTTGCTTTTTCTTTTTGAGGGTTTATCATATTGTTGTAGATTCTGTTCTTATGGACATTTCAAAATATGTCTTATCTCAAAGTGAAAGCTCCATCTAAGAAACATCAAGAAATCAAAGAACTTTATTTACACAACTAAATCACTGGTGGTAACGTTATTAATTGGGGGTTGAGTTACTGCCAGACCTTTGTGTTTGTATGCATCAGAGCCTGTATCAGAGAGAGAGAGAGAACCTGCAAAACCGGACTAATAGTCTTTACTCTGATAGCTGATGAAGGAGCAAATATCAAAATGCAATAAAATTTTGGGGGGGGG